CTGAACATTTCTCCTCCTGATACTTCTCTCTGAGTCTCTGAGGGGTCACTGACAGAGACAGCATGTCCAGTCAGGCAGAATAAGTGCTGTGAGTGTGACAGTAGGGCAGCTGTGTTCCTTCGAGAGAGGTGATCTTCGGCAGCCAGGACTAGAGGAGACAGGCACAGAAGATGCTCTCTGCACAACACTGAAGAGGTTAAGGGCTGGCTCTAATGAACTGTCCCGCAGGCATTCTGATAAATACATTTCTGATCCTAGAGCAGGGAGAAAAGTATTCTGATAGAAAAAAAATCGTATTGCCAAATTCATTGCTTAACAGAATTGTTTCTTTGCTGTTACTGAGACAGCATGTTTCCCTCTCCTCTGTTTCACAGAGGGTGTCTGCTCAGCCTGACAGGAGCCTGAGAGCTCTGAGCTCCCCGGTGCCCTTCTCTTTGCACCGGTTTCAATCCACAGGTAACCACTCCATTCCAGGCTGATGCACATGCAGCTGAGCTGTCAGAAGACGTTAAAAAACCCAAATCAAAACACAGTGCATCTCGGAATACAGCTGAAACAGAAAGCTGGAAGATTTGTAAGCTGAACGTCCAGGGAACCCAGGGCATTATCAGGGTACAACCTGAGACGCAGTGCGCTGCCACGTGGGGCAGCTGAGCTGGGCGTGGGGAGGAAAGAACCAGAACAGAGTGATGAACAGTTCTGTAACTGAAACTCCTGTCAAACTTCCAGACTTGTATTTTCCAATTTTCTCCCCAAAAAATTCTTCAAAAGCTTTCTGATTGACTTGAAGTGGTTTGATTTAAAAAAAAACAAAAACAAAAACAAAAAACCAAGCAAAAAACCAACCAAAGTCAATATTGTTAAGAAATTAAATTTACTTCTTGACTGTAAAAAAACAACAAAAAAAATCACATAACATTACTATCCTACCTGGGGAAAGGTCCAGCTTCAAAGATTTCTGAGAAAGAGCTTTCAGAGCTTTCAGTATTAACCAATTTTCATAAGCAGCATAAGAAAACATCTATCTACAAATACCATTTACTTTTCTCATTTTTAACTCTCATTGCTTCAAAGCAGCTTTTTTTCCTCAGACAGGATTCTTGGGACCCTCATTTGGGATTAAATCACTGCTGCCTACAAATTTAAACCAGGGGCACAACATTGACTGGAATAAATAAAATAATAGCAAGACTCTGAAATTTGGGGTTTACAATTAGCTTCCACAGGTCTCAGACTTCTCTTGTCATGAACCCTGATCCAAATCAGAACCAACCTTGCAAGCAAACAAAACCAGACAAGAACAAAAGCAATTTTCATCCAAAACAGTGAGGGGCACCCTAAAAAATCTTGTATTCCAAAAGGGCTTGCACCATGAAGCTGTAACCATGCAGGTTTATATTACTCTGCCACCAATCTCACCAACGAGTGATGTCAACGGGGATTGTCTTGCCTCCTCCTACCTTTAAGCAACCTGGTCTAGTGGAAGGTGTCCCTGCTGATGGCAGGGGGGTTGGAACTGGATGATCTTTAAGGTCCCTTCCAATCCAAACCATTCTATGATTCTGTGATTCTATGATTACCTAAACCCTGCCCCGCCAGCTGCCCTGGATCAGACCCAGCCGTCGTGCGGCCGCAGGGTGAGGCTGGGCAGTGTGCTGGTGCAGCCAAGGATCTCCCAGCTCACTACTCACAGCTTAGTTTTCCACTAGTACATTAGTTTTCCCGAGGGGTAGCCTGCACTCAGGGATGATTAATTATACTCTGAGTTGAGTGCTGAGGTTCAGGAATTTATCACAAGTAGATTTCCACTTAAGCTGATCTCTTCAAACCTCACACGTAAGTCTGCCACCGCTAAGTACTTGTCTGAGAGCGGAGTGTCGTCAGCTGTTCCAAGGGAGACGCTTCCAGTCCTCCCACCCTCAGAGCTTCATCCTCAGCTCTTCCACATGTTGTTCTGTACCCTTGGCAAAAAACCTGCATTTTCTGTGTTTCAGTTTATCATTTACAAAATAAGTGTTATTAAGAACAAAGGCTTGCAGCCCTTCCAATAGAGAAAGCGCACGTATTTTTAGGATATTGTGGGCTATGATACTTTGCTGTAGGGACAGCAAAAACGTTGCTAGGAGTGCTCAGGATTGCTGTGATTTCCAACACTCAGTATAGAGTTTCCTGGAACAGATCAAACGAGTCACTTTGTTCTCCCAGCGAGAGGAGAGCTGCACACCCACCCGTTCCTCCCGCCCTTCGGCGAGGATGACAACGATCCGGCCCTGCCGCCTGCGCCCCGTTCGGCCCATCCGCTGCACCAGCCGAATTGGGCTCTTCTGAGCGTCAAAGCAGATGATGAGATCAACTTCTCCAATGTCCAAACCTTCTTCCCCAACACAGGTAGAGACCAGAGTGTTGTACCCACCGTCACGGAAGCGTTTGACCACCTGAAGAAACGATGAAAATTAGATTTAACGGGTTAGACAGAAAACCCCTGCTACACACTTTGCAGCTTTTCTATTTCAGAGAGAAGTTGAAAAAATTAATGTCTATTTTAAAACTACAAAACTTAATCTCGCTGAATTTGTCAAATACTATCTCGTGATCAAATACCACACCCTAATATTATCAATGTCAACTCTTCAACTCTAAAATAAAGGGAAAGAAGCGCACCTCATTGTGACTCCAAACACAGCATTTTTCTGAAACTGATCTTCCCAACTTTGCAATTAAATATTTATTTTTTTGTTTTGCTTTTGGGTTTATTTTGGTTGGTTGCTTGCTTGGTTTGGGTTTTTTCTTTGTTTTTGATTTGTTTAGTTTTTTTTAACTTTGCTAGATCAAAATTTAAGGATATATATTATTTTTTTCTACCTACAAGAAAAAAAAAATCCCCTAAGCAAGTATTTGAATCTTTCCTCAGATTTTAAAATATACACAACTTAGCAGTTGTTAATATAATGTAAATATATAAAATATTTCTACTTCTACATTATATTCAGTAAGTATAATTTTGTCTGAAAGCAGTTGAACCACATAGGAACTTACTAATGACACTTTAAAGTTCAGCAACTGCCACAAATCTCTATCGATACTCATGTATTAATTTTTACACAATTAATACTCTTTACCACAATTTCCTAACAGAAATCTCTTTTTTTTCTTTACCTCAAGTTGTTCCTTTTGTGTGAAGCCTTTTGTGCTCTTTCCTGTGGAGTGGCCAACAAACATCATCACTCTAACGACTGGGCTGAGCCGTGAAAGCATGTCTGCAATTTCTTGCACGCTGTCTCGAAACGATGAGAAGATCATCACTCTGGTATCCGTGGCGCCCACGGACGTGCTTTCAGTTGTGACTTGATCTGTTTCATTTTTAAAAAGTCAGAAAAGCATTTTTATGCATGATTTTTAAAATAATTACCAATAAAAAAAAAAAAAAAAGGACAGGTTATCCCATAAGTTACACACTCACAGCTCTCCTCTCACTTAATGGGAAGATTTTGTCCAACTATATTGTATTTTGAATTTTTCCAAAGAAATTTTCTTTAAAAGAAATGTTATTAAAAAAAAGAGTAAGTAAGTAAATAAATAAATAAAAAGTAGAGAAAACTGATAATTAGGAGCCTCTCAGCCTTTTTACATCAACCTACCATAAAATGCCCCAAGATACACCTGCCCAAACAATTCCTCTTTGGAATCAAAGCAGTATTCTAACTTTGGAAAACTGACATCATTACAGCATGTCTTAAATCTGAGGTGCCGTTATCAGTGTCACTTTGAAAAGCTCGGGTTTGATGGTGAGTATCTTGAAATAAAGGTTAAGATGCCTCCTTCCAAAGAGCTTACAATCTGACTTTAAATCTGGTACTTCATGCCCAGAGGCAGGTGAGGTTAGCAACATACAGCAAGAAACCCACAGTCACCATCAGTCTAGGACACAGCACGGTCAGGAAGCTCAAACATAACCTGGCTGAACACTAGTTTGAAATGATTCAGAGTTTGCACAGGCAACTTGGCACTACTCCCAGAAGTTCTCATACGAGATGTTTCATTTCAAACGGAGGAAAAAGAGCTACTGTTTTCCTTGATACGGCTAATGACTCAGGTTATTAATACTCTCCTTTTCTGTCTCAAATGTAGGGCTTTCCAAAGAAAGTGCTTTGCAGAAGTAGTTACTCATTTTAAAAATTACACAGGCATGAACACAGTAAATTATGACTCAGAGTACTTCAGTAAAGCATAATTGGAACAAAGCAGAGTTAAGCTCAGGGGTTTTGTTTGCTTCATGTTTTTTTTTTTTTTTCCTAGAGATTCTACACACTTGCATGAGTTCCTGAAACAAATGCTGAATGTATTTGCCACTGCTCGTGTAAAGATTTAGGCTTTTATTTCAGAGCCTTCTGATGGAGCAAAGATATGTGCAATTACGTTTGGAATCTCAATAAGTACTGGAGTTTTTATTGACAGAATCATGACAAAATCTTGTCTGAAGGAGGGAGAAATCAGGACACGGGTGTGTACTCTATTCAGCCCAAAACCAGAGTTCAGGGTGTAGCTACTTCTGTACGTGTGAATTTAGAGTTTACATGCAAGAAACAAGGAGTAAGGGTAGAAATACAGGTTGTGGGTTATTGCTCAAAAGGTATCATTAGAGACACTACGACACAGCGAATAATAAGGCCAATAAATAAATTCCCAGTGTCTCAGTATTTCTGTCGACTGCCCAGTGCATTTGGGTTGGAGACACAAGGTGGAGCTTACTACATTCCCTAAGTTACTAGCACGCCTCCAACTTTGTGATCAGACTGTGAATTGTGAAGAGCTTTCTGGCTTTGTTTTATACACAAAGATTTCAAGATGTTAGTTCTTGCTCTGAATTTAACTATGTGCATCTAGAGAACTGTGTTCAGGACATTGCTTTATATTCCCCATGGCCTTGCCTTGCATGTTAGCTACGAGGATAAAGGAAGCTACAGGGATCAGGAACAAGGTAGGACAGCAAGAAAACCCACCACACCTAGCTCAGGATATGACTAGATGTGCTACCAAAGCTCACCAATTATTCTATAAAGATTATTTATTTCTTCCTGCACAGTCACTGTATTTTTGTATCTGTAACAGTAAAGATTTAGGGTTCATGCACACAGACACAAAACACCAAATCAAAACATTTGTATATTAATTACCTGTTAGCAATATTAACAGACATGTCTGACCAACACTGCAAGGGAAAACATGATGGGATTCGTATGACAGCAAAATCCATGCTATCAGAAGAAGAAGGAAGAGTATTAAATATGAAAATGAGCTCAAGTAACTACAGTACAGAACAGAGAATTTGAAAACAAAAAGTAATGGCTGGGAAAGATGTTACAGGAAACAAGACAGAGGCAAGGAAGAGAGAGAGAAGTATAGATGGAAAGGGAAAAAAAAAGGAAAAAAGAATAAAATAATTTGATGAAATGCATTTGGACATATTATAAAGAAGCAAAACGAGAAACGAGGAAATTTAAAGCTGCCTAGGCTATTACTAGAAAGTAGCAGCCATTTAAAGTGTATTTTGAGAATCAAGCACCTAAAATAGGAAAAAAAGAAAAAAAAATCCAAATTAAAAACCAAAGCAGAAGGGCAGGTCAGAAATTATCAGAACTTCTCAGGTACAAACAGGCAAACAAAAAGTGAAGACTTTTTTTAAAAAAAAAAAGTTACTGATGTCATCATTCCAAAAGCAACAACTGGATCAAGAAGCTGAAACTTCCTAACACCAGAGATGTTCAAGTGATGCCTAATATTTTGCTTCATAATCTCATGCTACTGTATGACATATTTTTTTTCTCCCTTTTGGTCAAGATGAAATAGAATGAGAGAAAGATGAATGTACCTGAAGGTTTTAAACTCCAAATCCATACAAGACAATAAAGAAGCACTTGAACAAAGTAGGAAATAAATCAGTAAGATATCACTTGTTTTCATCTACAGGTTAAACTGTTCAGATACATTTTCTTTGCGTTGTTGGTACTTACCAGAACATCCCTTTTTCCAGGATTTGAAGTGTTCTATAACAATTTCCTCCAATTTCCTTAATTTTGGATGGCTGTAGATAAATCCCTTTTTATTTTCAAATACTGAAAAGGAAATAAAGCAATTAAAGATGTAAGTAAACCTGCACAAGTAGGAAGGTTTAGTAAATTTCACTTCCTCCCATTATAATTCTCAGAGTCAGACATCCAAATTCCTGATCCTAGTTCTAATTGCATTCACCTAAAAAAACAAATCAGTAAACTCCTTAGGGAAGCATATTTGTTCAACCTAGTTTTTGGGAAAGCGTTGTTACTTTTGTTACAGTCACACTGGAAAAGATATATAGTCAAACAGAAATATCTCATTTGAAACCCAATTAAACACAGAAAACCTGTCTGAAGGTAGCTAAAGCTGCTGAGAGAAGAAATAAATAGAGTCTGGAGAAAACAACTTGGAATAAAGAATACTGGCAGAGTGTACCACAAGGAATAGTTTCCTGCACTTACAAACTATGTAGAGATATCTACTTTTTCATTTAAACAGAAAGGAAATATTCTGTCCCTACAAAGGAAATACTGACCTGCTTTACTCTTGTAAACACTTCCATTCGCTGAAGCCAGAGATGTGTCTGAAAACATGTCTCTGAGCTGCTGATACAGCTTCATGAAGTCCTCACTGCGACCAAGTTCATTCTTCGTACGGGTTAGCCCTTTGTAAAAAGTTGAAATACCTCAGTATTTAATTTCTGGAGTGAACATAACACTTGCTGTCCCAAAGACAAGCTTTCTCAGAAGCAGCAAGCTCCTTTTGAGAGCTGAAAGATACATGGTAGCTTTAGAAAATGGAATAGAAATGGTTTGGCATCAACATGCCACACATCTTCTAGTGGACGGTGTCCCTGCTCGTGGCAGGAACTAGATGACCTCTGAGGTCTCTTTCAACCCACACCATTCAATGACAATATTCTTTCAGGGAAGATGCCATTACAGAATTTAAACACGAAAATGTGAATTTATTGTTTGCTTCATGTTGTAGAATCATAGAATCATAGAATCATAGAATGGTTTGGATTGGAAGGGACCTTAAAGATCATCCAGTTCCAACCCCCCTGCCAGCAGCAGGGACACCTTCCACTAGACCAGGTTGTATGTAGAGACAGAAGCCTGGTCCTGTGGGTAAACTAGAAAGTTTTACATGAACCATTTAGCACTGGAAGAGCCATCCAGTCCAGAAACGTTGAGGGTGCTGAGATACTGGGATGCTCAAAGTCATGAATGTCCCATCAGTGGAAGCATTCCTGGTCAGGCTGGATGGGGCTTTGAGCAACCTGATCTAGTGGAAGATGCAGGGGGGTTGGACTAGATGATCTTGAAAGGTCCCTTCCCACCCAAACCATTCTGTGATACCATGAAGTGGTGCCAGTTACTCAAAGAGAAGGGAGCCTAGACTAAAAGTGAGAATTAACAAGTTTCTTGAATGATTTCATGTCAATGTTGAAAAGAATTTTGCTCTACTGAAGCCAGAAGTCAAACTGACCAGAACCAGCACAGAAGACCTATTTATTAGAACTATTTTCCATCAGTCATCTTCCAGGCAGTTGGACTAGATGATTGTTGCAGGACCCTTCCAACTGAAATATTCTATTCTACTCAAATATTCTGTTGTATTTAATAGCAGAAAGAGATTGAAGGCATCTGAGAACTGGGGAATGCATGGAATGTTCTCCAGCGCCTCAGGTCTAACAATATACCACATATAGCACTATACATCAGGAATGGAAAAATGGGAAAGCAACAAATTGCATAAATGAGGGTGGGCCAGAAAGCTCAGGGATCTTGCAGGGCTCTGGCTCTCCCGGGATTGTGGTTTGGGTTTGGGGACTGTCTCTGCTCCGGGATCTCTGGCTGGGACAGGCTGGGCATCGGTCGGCGGGTGGTGAGCAACTGCCCTGGACATCACTCATTTGTATGTTCCATTATTACTGTTATCATTATTATTATTATTATTTTAATTTAAATTTTATTTCAATTATTAAATTGTTTTTCTCTCAACCCCCAACTTCTCTCACTTTTACCCTTCTGATTGTCTCTTACATAGGTTGGCCATGAGGAAAAGGTTCTTGAGGCAGAGGGTGGTGGAGCACTGGAACAGGCTCCCCAGGGAGGTGCTGATGGCACCAAGCCTGACAAGATTCCAGCAGCATTTGGCCAAGGCCCTCAGGGACATGGTGTGAATGTTGGGATTGTCCTGTGCAGGGACAGGAGTTGGACTGGATGATCCTTGTGGGTCCCTCCCAACCCACAACATTCCGTGATCCTGTGATTTCCTGGGCAGAGGAGGATGAGCGAGCGGCTGTGTGGTATTTGGCTGCTGGTCTGGTTAAAACCACCACACAGTGTCATTTTAATGAAGCACTGCTGTAGCTGAAGTAGCTTCTGTAAGTCACCACCCAGTTACATAGCCAAGTGTTAATGAAGCAAGGCACCTGAGAGGCACACCATGGGGTAATCTGAACAGCTAGAACCTTCCCCTCCCACATCCAGTGTTTAGAGGATGCTTGCTGATGGACTGACGTTGCCAAATGGAAGTTTTCCTCCTCAAAAAAGACATGAGTACCAAACCAGTTCTTCCAGATAGCAATGACAACCCACTGGGTCTAAAAATGACTGTGGAGAGTTGCAAAAGACTCACCACAGTCAGTGATGGATTTAGGAAAATAAACTGAGGCCAGAACAAAAACCAGCTTCCCTTTTTGGTTAGTGGGCATGGAAGATGTTGCACAGCTAGGACAGAAATCCTACTGTGAGGTGTCCAGATCTCTAATCCTCTGGCAAAGACAGTTAAAACTCATGTATACATGAGATCTGCTATAGGGTGAGGAATTGCTTTACAAGACCAAACAATTTCTCAGTTTAACTTGTTTCATGGTTATCCTCTTGAGAGATATTACTGCCACCGAGTTCTGCTTGTGCCTTATTTTCTTCAGAACTGCTGCCATAAAAATACATTTTCTTTCCCAAATATATTTTATCTTTAACATTGTGCTAACTTATTTCCAATAAGGATGAAGGGGAACCAAATACCAATTCCATTTGCAACCCATCTGTTATATAAGGTGCTTTGTGCAAAACTAGCCATACAGATGAGGTGAATTAAATGAGAAGGGGTGGAGACAAAAGGAAGGATATTTCTGAAGACGTTTCACCTTTTGATCCATCCATAATTCCACAAAGGTAGATGAATAATGACCACAATCCCATTTGCAGCAGCAGCTCATAACCATGATATAAACTGATACAAAGTGCAAAATCTCCTTCAATTATGCCTTGATGTACTCCCTGTGAAAACAAAACAGACTCATCATTAAATTAGGAACTTGATTCAGGAATCACACTGCAATTGTTATTACAAAAAATAGGACTGACATCTGAGAAATGGAGCCAAAGCACAAACTAATGCACTAGGAGCAGTCTGTCTATCGAAGCCTTCAGGAAACAGGTTACACATTTCTTCATGATCACTGAAGACAATCTTTTTCCACCTTCAACACGATCTCCAAAATACCTGCACTGGCTTCCAAGATTAGCTCATTACTTTCCGTTGCAGCAACACTCAAAATCTGACAGCTGAACCATCCATCAGTATCTGGCAAAACTTCTGGCATGTCTACCCAGGCCACAAAATTTAAGTCAGGAAAGCTGTCGTGCCTGATGTGAAGAGCATTTCACCAGGTTCTTTTTAAGGTACACAGTCTTTTTTTTAAAAAAAAGTTTGCAAAATTTGAACACTCCATGACAATTGACAGAAAACTAGGGGCATTAATGTAGTCTGGAGGGAAAAAGTGTAAATTTGGCAGTCAGTAATCACAATCCAAGTTCTCAAAATAATTTCAGTTTCAAAACAGAGTTCTTCAACTTTTCCTTAACTTTCCTATATTAGCATTAAGAAATGTGGAGCAAGTGGGTATATTTTATTCCAGGGCTAAAACCAGAATGTTAAAAAGGAAATCTAACTCAAAACGTATCAGGAAACTTTGCACACTATGGATTATTACTATTTGTTCACTCTTTTAATAACACAAAATAAAAAGCCGTTTACCATGTTTTGTGAGGACGGGTTTTTTCTATATTGATCTCTTGCTAGGATGATCTGGTACTTTGTCAGGCTGGGGATATCCCGCCGTGCTAAAACTCCTATTCTAATCAGGCGTCCAGCAAACGTTTCTAGCACCTGCAAACAGAACACAGAAGAATACAGGAGATGTGAAGGTATGCACATTTAGCCCTTTAGCTTTATTTTCACAGATCTTCTACAACAGAACACAAGCAGCTCATTTATTTTATTGGAAACATTGAGTTTTTCAAAACCAGACTGTGCTGGTTTCTGAAGAATTTCTTCCTGTGCCAGATGCCAGCCTGGTGCTCTGCCCCACCGTCAGGTTTTCCACTACCAGGATGTTTCTAGGTTGGTTTTAGTTATTTTTTTTTTCCTAAGACCAGCAGAATTTTCTACAACTTGGTTCCCTAAGGATTCATGCCCTCCATCCTATAGACAAACACCCTCCTGCCCCCAAGATAACCCCATATCCATCAAATGACTGAGAAGGGGAAACACACACCGTACTTTTGTATTCACAAGTACTGACCAAGCAGAGAGGAAACGAAACAGGATGGGCAGCGAGCTCCTGAGTTCATGCTGCAGCTCCTTCTGTTACTGGGAACCATGACTTCAGTGGCTTTTCACTCTCAGGAAAACGTGTATTCATCTTTGAGAAGTCTAAATTATGGCAGGCAGAAGACCAGCCAACAGGTTAGAAAGTAGTGTTGAAGGAATGGGAGTCGGGAGAGGTGAGCAGAGAGGAATGAGTGCCCAGGAGATGAGCCTGGCACAGCACCACGGCCCATGGCCTTTGGAAGCCAAAGGCAATTTGTTTTTACACATCACATGTACCTGCTTTCCACATCGGTGAAACAAGGGAACTGACCTTCACTAATTCATCTTAATCCTGTTTTTCCTCTTTGTTTCTCAGCCCTAGGTGGTCAGGATTTTTTTTCAGAGACTTAGTTTTGCATGAGCGCTAACTCTGTAATAATTGGAGTAATCAGATTTGTGCTACAAAAAATTACTTACAATCTGTTGGCCCACTTGGCTAGTAGCACCAAAACCATCTTAGTGCACAATAACGAGCTTCTCCAAAGGCAGTCCTGACTTAGTTTGACAGCAGAGAGTTCCTGCTAGCTGCTTACATGCAGACACAGTGTTTCCCAGGTTTTCTGGGCATTTTAACACCCGTTCAGCTGAGCTGTGCTGAGAAGGCTATAGCATAACAAATGCCTGATCCCTCTATTGCTGCTCCTTCAGCCCACTGCAAATCACATCCAGCTGAACCGATAAGAACAGGACTAACTTTCAGCCCTCAAACAATAAACGCTTCCTTAAACACTTCCAGGGAGGGGGCATCTACAACTTCCGTGGTCAGACACTGTCCCAGGTTGCCCAGAGAAGCTGTGGCTGCTCCTCCCTGGAAGTGTTGAAGGCCAGGTTGGATGAGGCTTTGAGCAACCTGGTCTAGTGGAAGGTGTCCCTGCTGCTGGCAGGGGGGTTGGAACTGGATGAGCTTTAAGGTCCCTTCCAACCCAAACCATTCTATGATTCTATGAATACTGATCTACGTATGTCTTCAGCTTGTGAAGACAAAATGCCCTAAGAGGACGTGATAGTGTCACTGGGCTGGCCCTTGGCCAGCAGCCAACACAGCCGTTCACCCACTGTCCCCCCACCACCCCAGGGAATAGGGGAGAGGAATGGGGGACAAGGGGAAGGAGACTTGTAGGGTGAGAGAAGAACAGTTTAATAATAGAAATAAAAGAAAACTTTCAAAAAACTAATATAAAAATAGTAGTGATAATGATAACAGTAATAAAATCTGCAGATGAGTGACCCCCAGTGCCATTGCTCACCACCCACCCACCAAGCCCGGCCCGTTCCCAGATCACGATCCCGCAGGAGCCACAATCCCGACCCGAAACCG